TATGTGTAGGTTCAGCAATTTCATTTTAATGGCAATGAACAGGTTCTTTTCATTCCCATTAAAATGAAATAACTGAATATAAATATAGGAGCCTGAGAAAAAAATGCTAATTTTAGAAGAACATTTCAGATGGCACTTAGAGGATTTTGCATCTGAACGCTTCATATATATATATATATATATATATATATATTACAGATAATCAAGATCATTAGCTGACCCAAAACACTGGGTCTATCTTTATTGACGAGTCCTGGACAGTCATTCCTGCATGTGTTGTGTGGTTTCTTACCGTCTGTGTCCATATCGCAGTAGACTTCCACAGGCATGGCCCCTAGTGAGGGCACCACGGTGTAGATCCCAGAGCGCCGCACTCCATTATAGTAGATGGAGGCACAGTCAATGGGGCAGTTCCTGACATGCTGCACCTCTGGAGTAAAAACACATGCAACTATATTAACATAATATAAAAAACATATACTGTATAAAGGGTAAGCAATTTCAGTTCCCATTAAAAAAAATGAGATGATGAAGAGGTCATACGTCTCATAAACTGCGCTATGATTTGTCACCCTCTGTTGGTTCAGGCCAGTAACTGACGAAAGTTCAATACTAGCTAAAGACTTAAGGGGTATTACACCAAAAAATGAAAATTCAGCCATCATTTACTCATTCTCATACCCATAAGACCTTGGTATCTTAATTTGTGTTTCAAAGATTAACCAAAGTCTTTGGGTTTGGAATGTAATTTTGTGAGTAAATTTCTGGGTGAACTATGCCTTTATTGCACCACACGATTCACAACACTGAAAGTCATGATAGAAAAGAAAAGCTCTGTCAAGTTCTACTAAAATCGTGAATATAATATATTGTTTACATTTTTTTTTTAAATTATATTAATTATTATTAATTATATATGAAGCGTTTGGTTCCAAAACGCTATAAATCCATTTTGATTAATTTGAGTAAAAATGTGTTTTCTTTACCAAGAAAGTGGCAAGATGGAAACCACTATTTTCTGTTTCAAACTTTCACATAGCATCTTTAGGTTATAATAACATTAAAAATTCAAATCCAGATTTTGATTTTTAAAGATTTATTATAAAAATGTATTATTTTTTTCCCCAAAATGCAATAAATCCATGACACGTATTTTTTCCAAAATGCAATAAATCCATTGAATAAATATAAAAGTTATTTTTCATATTGAAACTGTTGAAAATACACAACATGGTTAATCCACATATGACAGCCTCTGAACTTGGTCAATACTAATCTTATATACAGGCACTGGACTAAAAATACATTCAATCAGTCATCGCTCCCAAAATGAATTCAACGGGTCATCTTGTTAATGCTATAAATTAATTAATTATTAATTATAACAAGAACATGAACAACAATATCACATTAGACCACCATAGTCAGTGATCTACGGCTCTGTGTATCCATCTGAAAGCACGTGGTGGAGATTTACTATTAATCACAGAACCGGCTTTACTGACGAGATGCGCATGACAATCACATGCGATTTATCGTGCAGCCCTAAGTTTGTTTGTTGATCACAAAGTACAAAGTAGATGAGGAAAACTAGGATGCCGGGTGTATTCAAAGCGCCGCCATTACTGTCTAGAATGTGTGGAATGGTGCACTGTGATTGGTTGTTACTGTTTACAGTGCGTGGAATGGTGCGCTGTGATTGGTTGAGCGGATATATCACATTCTGTAGAGAAGGTAGACTGGCGTTTGTCGCGGTTTGGAAAGAAAGGGAGAAAACATGAAATAATAACTTGGCGGATATCACATTTTGCGTAAAAATGGACTTTTCAATACCGACCATATACAATACTGATTTTGGCGGAAACTCAAAAACGCAAAAAAAAATGGCGTTTATCGCGTTTTGGAACCAAACTCTTCATATACACACACACACACTGTATATAGCAATTTAATCCAAGATAGATGTCAAAAGCCTAAATTAACTTTTTTAACCTAATTAAGCTCTCATTTCATATGGATTAATTTTACAATGCCTTTATGAACATTTTGGATCTTCTAAGGTTTGGTTACCTGAACTTTCATTGGAGGGACAGAAACATCTCAGGTATCATTAAAAATACCTTAATTTGTGTTTTGAAGGTTACTCAAAGCTTGAAACGACATGAGGATGAGTAAATGATGAAAAATGTCATTTTTGGGTAAACTAACCCTTTAAAGCATCACAAGAAAATTGTCATGATAGAAAAGAAAAGCTATGCTTGTGCACTTTATGAGATTAGAAGGGGGTGTCCACATTCTATTGGCTGTGTATACTATATATATATATATATATATATACAGTATATTTATATATTCTGTTTTGGATGCTGGCAAGATGTTGTCCCAACCAGGCTTCTAAACTAGCTGACAGGAACTGGCCAGTCATGATTTTGCATACTGACTGGTTAAGAAAAAAACAATCATGCAGCTTTGAGATAAAGCTTTTCCAGATTTCCCAGATGTGGCTTACCAGGATGCAGAGCTTCCTGTGCACTGAGCATTGGGCTGGTGCGGACTATGTTGATCATGCAGCCCGGGTTACGTCTGACTTTTTCCACCAGCAGGGAGAGGTTCTGAATCTGGGCCTGGAGGTCATAGACCAATGAGCCCTGGATGTGCAACAATGTCGTGGCCTCGGCGTAATGATCCTCCAGCTCATGCAAGCGCTGCTCAATAGATGAATTATTGCGGTTCTTCTCTTCACTCTGTGAAAGGCCAAACAGACAAACATCACGACTCCCAATCAAAAAAGTGATGTGAAGAACAATTCCTGTCAGCTTTTGCAAAATGAGACCTTCTGAAGTGGCTGCAGTACATTGTGTGTGTTTGCATAAATGGCCAGGGGAGGGAGAGGCAGACAGGATCTGTCCGTGTGAATCATCCTCTCGTTTAACAGCATGAAGAGCTTAAGGGTGCGTACTAATGAAGGCACGTGGAGAGCGGTAAGGACTCCAGTGTTAATCTCATTAACCTCAGGTCAAGGAGACTTTAGGCTGAAAACTGTCAAGCCGAGTTGGCCGGAGCGACAAGGAATTTACAGAAGCACTAGAAGGGAACACTTACTGTACAACAAAGCACTAGTGATGGCATCAGATGGTAATAATATAGTACTGTGTACAGCGGTATTCAGCGATTATGATATACCATGATATTTACATAGTACTCCAAGGTACAGTACTTTGAATAATAATATAGTACTACCACCCTTACAAAAGAAAAAGTACTGAAGTGGTGCCATGCTACACAACATGAGATGACAATATATGGTATTTTGAAACATACCATGGCACTGAAATTCAAGTACATTTATTTAAACGGTACTGTTATGGTAAATGTCCAAAATACCATGGTAAAACCAATGCCCAAAACATGGTAGAACCAAGATACCATGTCCAAAAAAAATTGGCATATGTAAAATATTAGTGCACCGCATTTTACGATGGTACAAAAACATAGTATTATTATTGTGTCAACATTCCATGGTATTAACATAGTAAATGTCTAAAAACCATGGTACTAACATGATAACCATGGTAGTTAAAAAAAAAAAAACATGGTAGTATCATAGTACATATCCTAAACACAAAGGAGGTACCATGATACCATACCCCCCAACAAACTTGGTATATGTAAAATACTAGTGTATAGTATATGTTTCCATGGTACAAATCCTAAAACCACAGTATTATTATAACACTTTTATGTTCGTCAGGTCAACATACCAAAAATGGTATTATGTAAATGCCCAAAAGCCATGGTACTCCCATCGTACTTCATTTAATGTCCAAAAACAAAGTGACGTGACATGTGGCCAAGTATGGTGACCCATACTAGGAATTAGTGCTCTGCATTTAACCCATCCTTAGTGCACACACACAGCACTGAACACACACACACACACCGTGAACACACACCCGGAGCAGTGGGCAGCCATTTTTGCTGCGGCGCCCGGGGAGCAGTTGGGGGTTCAGTGCCTTGCTCAAGGGCACCTCAGTCGTGGTATTGAAGGTGGGAGAGAGCGCTGGTTATTCACTCCCCCCACCTACAATCCCTGTCGGTACGAGACTCGAACCCGCAACCTTTGGGTTACGAGTCCGACTCTCTAACCATTAGGCCACGACTTCCCACTTCCCACAATGGTATGACTATAATATATGTCCAAAACATATCATGGTACATCCATGGTATTTTTATGGTACATGCTCAAAAAAATGGTATCTGTCAAATTACATCAATATATTTTTGTGAAAATAAAGCGATTTGATTGAATAGCTACAAAACATAAACAATTACTGTATACAATTTGTCATCATTATTGATGCATCATTTATAAGGTGTTGGAGAAATGTTAAAATCAGAAGAATAACATTAATAATTATTCTTATTTTTATCTTCTTAACTAAGTTTGAATTCTTATTCTTAACTAAGTTTGAATCATTCTACTGAATCGGTTCGTCCTAAACGGCCCTCTCTCTCATATAGTAAGTAGCATCGGAAATTCAAATCATTCTACTGAATCGGTTCATACCACTTATCTATAATACAATAGTGGTTCATCCTAAACTCTCTATCATAAGTCGCGTCAGAAATTCGAATCAGACTACTGAATCGGTTTGTCCTAAACTGTCCTCTCTAGGCATATGTAGCACTGGAATATTCAGTTCAGTTAAGTATATCGGCTCGTTCTGAACGCTCTCCATTTAATGCAACATTTAAAAAATCGTTTCATTTATTTGATTTATTGTGGTCTCAGTGAACAGATTCAAAAAGATTTGAGTCACTACATGGCATATTTAGGTCTTACAGCAGAGTATATATATATATATATATATATACACACACACACACAAAAAGAAAAACAAGTAGATAGAATAGAAAAAAATAGAAAGCTAGTGTTAGTTTTTTTTTAAATAAAAAAAAGATAAAGTAGAATTAAAGTACAATTAAAATAGAATAGAAAGTGTTAGAGTTAGAGGGTCAAATAAGGATGGAACAGATGTGTTTTTAGTCATTTCTTGAAGATGGTTAAGGACTTGTGCAGTGAGTGGTCATCATCGCTTGCACTTGTTGCCAGAAACAGTACAGCCAGTAAGAGGGGCATGAGAGGCCTGCCCTCCATGTGATCGCTTCGGCTGACCCCCCTTCCCACCTTGTTGGAAGGACCCTGGGGGAGACGGCCAGGGTACAAGCTCTCTGACCTCCAGTCTCTCCAGTCTTGAGGAGAACTTGTCACACAGGAACACTGTCTAGGTGTCAGAGTCACTGTATTGACTCTGTTTCTGATGCTCGGTTTCTGATTCACCTGAAAACAAAACCAAAATCATTAAAAAAAAAATCTAAATAAATAAATAAATATTGTGTTGTATTAGCAGCAAAAGTAAACAAACAAACAAACAAAGTGTTAAATAAATATTTTTTTGCTGTATTACAATTTATTTATTATTTATTATAATTTATTTAATATTTATTATCATTTACATATATAAATACCAATTATTTTATTTCAATTTTATTTTTTCTATCATATCTTTTTTTAGAATTTATTTATTATTAATTTTTTTAGATATTTATTATATTTCTAAAATGTCTTATATTTAAATATATAAATATACTAATTATTTTATTTCATGTAAATTTTTCTATCATATTTTATTAAAATGTTTTATTATTAATTTATTTAGATAATTTATTATATCTTTAAAATATCATATTTATATATAGTATGAATATACTAATTATTTATTTCATGTTTATTTTTCTATCATATTTTATTAGAATTTATTTATTATTAATTTATTTAGATATATATCTTTAAAATGTCTTATTTACTTAGTTATTTCATGATTGTTTAAATATATTTTATTCGAATGTATTATTTATTTAGATATTTACAGTTTTTAAATTTGTTTACTTAACGTAAATATACTACTTATTATTTATATTATTTTCTTTTATTATTTTATAATTATTTATATTATCCTATTTTATTAGAATTTATGTATTTATTCATTTGCTTATGGATCAATATTGGTTGCTTGTTGGATCAATAAAGGTAAAGACACAAGAATATCACAGAGACATGAAAAATCATGCAAAAATGATTAGGCCAACTTTGACATCATGGCAGCAAATCTATGTGCAAGTTCCACTTACATTTTCTTCTGAATGTAAAAAATCGAATTATTATTTAGCAGCCACTTTCTTGTTCTTTTTCAAACTTTCCTATTCAAGTGCTTTGCTCAAAGATGAATCACAGTGAATCACCACTTGTGGGGCTCAAAGAAATATAACTAGGTTATAAGCTAAGGATTTGAAGCATTCAATTATGCAACCCACACCCAGTTATGACGTCACTCGAAAAAGTTCGGCGAGATTGTTCGTGGTCTATGATAATAACAGTAGGTCATTTATTTCAAGCACTCGATGGTGCGACATTTCAGTGCACTCGTGCCAGAGAACTATAGGTCAGCTGTCAAAAACCACATTGTACTCAAGATGCTCTCTTGGGTTTAGGCTTAAGGGGAAAATAACATGATCTGTCATAAAACCTCAATGTGATATTTGAAATAAATCCCACAAACACATCTTTAGGCATGTCCCTGCTCTTATTAGAGGTCAGCCTGGTTGTCCTGATTAAGGCACAGGTTAAGGAGCTTTGGTGGCCCGTGTCACTTTTCTATGTGCTTATGTAGGTTCAAGAACACGGCAGTAGTGAAAGCATTTAACCTGGAAGAGGATGGGCATGCTAAAAATAGTCAGTGTCACGTTTCAGACAAGAACATCCTTATCTGGGCACATTTATTCAGGAAATACATTAAAACCTCATTGAAACAGCTTGAATGTGCAATGCACCCAACAAAGTATTTGGACACCAAAGTCACACCTAAAATGTCTGCATTTATTGCATTAGATTACAAAATCAAACTGAAAGCAAAATGTAAATAGAAAATGATGCTGTGCACACACATATGTAACAAATAAAATGATTAAATGATTATTAATGGTAGTAAATACACATATATTACAAATGATTAGTACATTAACATTTGTTTAATGTATAAATAAAGCATTATTCAAATAAAATGGGGCTGTCAAATCGATTAATCACGATTAATTGCATCCACAATAACAATTTGTGTTTACATAATATATGTGTAATGTGTATATTTATATGTATATATAAATACACACACAAATGTATATATTTAAGAAAGCTGTGGAATATATATATTTGTTTTATTTGCAATAACATTTTTGTGTGGCTTTAAGTATACAAATACATTACAGGGCAACTGTCTATGCAAAATTAAACACATTGTTGGAAATAACACACTTTGTTTCAGTCATATATATAGTCTGCATGCAGAAACAAAACCAATGCATTTTCATGTATTCCATCTCTCCTGTCAATCTAGTTCAACAGGTGATCAATGCCTTGATCTGACCCATACTTTGCCAACACCTTGAGCAAACCTTTTAATGCTGAAGTATCACGTCTGCCAAAGCACCTCGTGTCTCTGATCCAAGCCTAGTGCACTAGATCCAACAGAGAAATGCTAAATATGCCAAACCACATTACAGAGAGCCTGAGGGCCTCGTGTCCTGCAGCACGAATAAAAGAATAACACTGAGAATCAATCATATTGATAAAGCATCCTACATCTTGGAAGTGACATTTTGATTAGAAGTGTGAATGCAGAGAATACATCTGTTTGTTTGGAAGCCGTCTGATTTACCCATTACTCCACACCTCATGCATCACACCATCTCACATGAGAGATTTCCCAAACTATTTACAAAGCTGTTGACGCACTGCTGTTACACTGTTACGTGCAGCGGTAACATTTCCCATTAGATGTCATCAGCAAGTAAGCTCTACAGGGAAACGGTGACAACAAGGCTTCAT